ATACTTTAAGACTTTTACTCAATTAATATTCTTAAAGAAGACTTTAACTKTTACCAAAGTCATTTTTTGGTAAGATACTTGTACTTTTACTCAAGTATCACTTTGTGGTACTTTATACAACACTGGGTAAATACATATAAATATATATATATAAAATATACATATAATATAAACTGTACATATAAACTCATATTTGTTGTCAGGAAATGTTCAATTTGGACCGTTATTACTAAAAAGAAAATAAAGCAACTTTTGGTTTGACTGAGGGATAATAAAAGCACGAGAGGAAGAAATAACACTATTAGACAAGCTAATACCATAATAACAAATGAAACAGGTCCAATGAAGCTCCAGATGAAGTAGTTATCTACTCGCAGCCAGCATCTGGAGTGGCACAAAGGAGAGAGGACAGTCATATACAACTTAGCAAAGGCACACACACACACACACACACACACTCGCATACATTCAGGCAGACATGTGCACATTACATCCCTGTCTCTAAGGATTATCTTATGAAGGCTAATCATCAGGCTTTTGCTAAGAGTGTTCAGAAAACCCAGTCTGTAGGGAGGCACAAGAGCCATTCGCACAGCCCTGCGTATTACATTTCCAGCTGGGGGAATAACATAATCCTACTTCTCAATCTGCAGGTGCAAAAGGCCTGTTTTCACACGTACGCTTTCTTGGTCCCATAGCTCCTGTAGTCTATGGCTGCGGAGATGCCCACCACCAGAGCGGGGAAGCAGTAGCCGCACAGATAGTAGTACTTTTTGCGTGAGTACTCGCTCTCAAAGACCTCCACGAGCATGAGATAGAGCTGCACACCCTCCAGACACATCCAGGAGAAGGCAGCCAAGAAGAAGAAATGAAGAAGGCCAGCAAAGATTGGACAGGCAATCTGAGGGTGGCAGTCAGGGACAGAGCCGAGAGAAGAGAAGAGGAGGAAACATTAAGATGAAAAAGGAGAAACCGTTAAGTTTAAGGCATGTAACCAAGTGAAACTCAGGAGAGAACAGAACAGAGTAACTAGGTAGTAGTACAGTACTGAACATTAAACGGGGGGAAAAAATGAAAAGCCGCCCCCAGGGTGACTGGTTCTGTGCACATTATTGAGTTGTAAAATATTACTTATAATGCAGTAAAGGTTTTTATATAGTAAAACAATGACACAATGCATCAGTTTCACAGCAGTCACTAAAAAAGTTTTAAAGGTCTTATGTTAATGTCAAGTGAGAAAACAAAAAAAAAAGACAACCCTGACCTTCTTTAGTGCATACGCCTAACACGAGCAGGTACATTTGTCATCTTATAGGTTTAAAAACTCACATGGTATTCCGTCTTGTCGATCCCTATGAGGAAGAGCAGCTCCGCAATGAAGAGGTTTATGCAGAGATTCTTGTGGATTGTGTTGCGGTCGGTCTGCAGACCCCGCAGGAAGCAGAAAGTGGAGATGCAGATGGCCAGACACACTAGGGAGATCACAATGCCCACCCAGGTGATCACAAAAAGGATCAGTTCGTGCATCCGGTCCTGTGATTACGGTTTAAGAAGTGATGGGTAAAAAAAAAAGGGGGGGGGGGGGTTTGAAAGTGGAAAAAAAAAAGGATACAACCCACCAGCCTCAGCAAAAAATCAAAACAAAGAAAAACCAGACAAATGTAGAAGGAAAAAATAGGACAGAGGATGAAGAATAGTGGGATGGGAGATAAGCAGCAGAAACAAAAGACGAATGAATGAAACAAGGGGGAGGAGAAAGAAAGAGCCAAATTGCTTTATTTAATATTTGTAAATATATGCAAGGAGCTAAAGTGTGAAGACAAGAGACAAGACATCCTGAAAAGAAAAATAATCCATGGCATTTTAATTCATGTGAATGTCAGCTAGAAGTAGTGGGACATGAATTTGTAAGCCGGTACCTCCTTGAATGTCAGCGTGAAAGGAGGAAAAGAGAAAATTCAAAAACAAAGAGCTTGTCAGCCTTGAGAGAGAACACTTATTGTGCGTGTGAGCGTGCGTGCGTGTGTGTCTGCGAGGGGTGTGCGACGGAGCACTCGCCAACGCTCACGCGAACAAATGTCTGCATAAATTACACCACTTCCATTTTAAATGCGAGCCTGCCACGCCCGTGTTTACTTACGTCGGACTCGTGGTGAGCCATGAGCACGGCGAAGTTGGTGAGGTGGCTGCAGGAGCAGGTGGTGTGTGTGCTGTTGGTCTCCAGCAGCTTGCAGCCCTGCGACGACCACTGGCCCGTCATGGAGCGCTCGGGGTAGTTCCAAAAGGAGCAATTCGGAGTGTAATAATTCTCCATCTGCAGACACGAAGGACAAGATGGAGGCAAACCGCCTCGGACGTTCGTTTAAAGTGTGCATGTGAAATAAGTTACCTGAAGATGTTTGAGTGTAAAGATCACGGGCTGAGTGAGAAACACTCTGCTGGACTCTTTGTTGATGGCGGCGGCGATCACGTGCGAGTTGACGGCCAGGCTTTTCCTCTCCAAGCTCGGCCCGTCCGTTTCCATCTTCACTGTCGCGTTCTCCGTGGACAGGAAAGATCCCAAATTCTTGTACAAAATGAACACCACTTTTACTTGTCCTGCAAAGCGAGCAGAGCCCCCAAAAACAGATCGGGAGAAACAACAGGAGATGAGAGGATCAATAATGAATGGTGAGAAAAAGGCAGTTGTGACACGAAAAGAGAACTCTAGATAAAATGGTACACGGGGGAGCGGGGGGGACGTGGAACGAGGAGAACGCAGAAATGAGGGCATAATGTGGTAATGGCAGCAGAGACGGAGAGCAGAAAGTGACAGGGTGAGTGAAAGGGAGACGGAGAGAGAGAGTTAGTGAAGGTTAGAATGATGGTAAGCACCGTTTCATTTTGACTGCTGGAAGAGAGCGAGATTTAATGTGGAGGGCAATGGAACATTCATCCCTCAAGCATTCACAGATCTCTTATTATTCCATATGAATATTTCATGTGGGTTTGTTTCAATCATTCTAATCTCGTTCCCACTGCAGAGCCRAGCAGAGGCAGAAAACAGAGGAGGGAAGGGATGAGGGACCACTGAAAGAGGAGGGAAGCGAGCGAGGATGACAGAGGGGGGTGGGGGGGGGGGTTTGGAAATTGGAAACAAGAGAGATGTGACAGTGGGATAAGATGGTGGAAAGTCTGAGCGAGGGAACGGGGGGAAAAGAGGAGCGAGGGAGTGCTGAGATTGCTCTGTCAGACTGGGGCCGATTGTAATCTACACGCCTCTCCAGCTATTCTATTAAGACTGCTGTTAAGAAACCATCAAGAAAAGAAATTGTCTCAGCGCTTTTGTTAATCTGATTAGGCTATTATTATGAACCAATAACTTAGTCAACTGCATGCAGATTGTTTTAGGCTCGAGCAAAGATGCAAATGAGAGCGGAAGTGAGGGCGGAGTTTTTACGGGGAGGTGGGGGCTGACCGTTGCGACTGTACTGTTTGATGGTGGAGGCTGAGAGCTGGATGGTGCTGTCGCTGGCGTAGTTCTGAGGAAAGGACAAGTCCTGCAGCTCCATCTCCGTGTTGACGACGTGCACCTCCAGATCTGGTGGAAAAACAATTGGCATGCGGTTTTATTATACTTTTATGTTATTATAGATGCAAAAAAAATAAAATTAAAAAATAAAAATAAAAAATAAAAAAAACACCCAGGAGGGAAATTAGAGTCGTAATCTGGAGGAAAAWGTTTCACTTGGTGTCCTAAACAGCGCTCTGTCAAAATTAAAACCTTTATTACTGCATCCTTACCAACACTGGGGGCTCGGTCTGAAAAGCGATTGCCATACATGTTGTTGGCCAACAGGAAGGCTGCTTTTTCCAGGACGTCTAGTAACATGGTGGCAGTGTGAGCCTGCTCTGTGCTGTTCATGTCCTGCCATGACTCCAGAGACTCAGGGCGGAGCAAGTTGTCCACGGTCTGGACCACCGCCTGGCACAGGCACAAACAGAGGACTTTAAACTATAGAGAACTGTGCAAAAATCTTGATTCATCTTTTTTTTGATAGTTTGATTCCAAAGAATGAAAATAAACTGTCAAAAATGAAGAAATGATTTATGTTTCTTTAGATAAATGTATAAAAAATAGCAAAGATCACAGTTTGGTTTACATAAAATTGAGTTTTGGTGATTCCTGAAGAGCTGAAAGCTGAAACCTTGTCACGCAACAGACAAGGATGATGTGTCTTTCAGGTTCTCTGTCACGTCTTTGTTTATTTGCAACTTTCAGATGCAGCTCATCAGCTGGAGCTAGATTTTCAAGCCTGACATGTCTTCTTTTGTCTTTCACGTGTCCACTTCCTTCATGTTTCAGCAAAGAAAACAGAACAATATGCCGTCAGGCTTGGATACAAAAACTGGAAAGACGAGAGGAAAAAGCTGCCAATGTCCAAAGAGAAACTGTGAAAGATTTTCAGAAAGCACAAATACCTGCTGAGCGTGACAGCTTCAAAATATTTCAACAAATAAATAAAAATGGCTGCTTAAAAGCAAACTGTAATTAAATTAGGAGCAATTTAAACTTTTCACACCAAATGGTTATTTTAGGAAACGCCTAACAAAGAGAAACATAATAAATGCGAAAAAGTACAAGAAAGCAAGAAATCAACATTTTACTGTAGAAAACGCACATGTGGTTAAAAATAAGATGGGGATTTTTAATAGATTAAATCTAAATTATTTAGTTTTTAAGTGGCATTTGGSAAGTATTCTTTGGACTTTTACCCAAATAGATGTGCGGTAAGGGGAAGGTCATCATCAAATACAAATGCATTGCCACAGCACAAAACAACATGCTCTGAACAGAACAGTAATTATTATTACTTATTCGATTTGCGTCACTTAACATCTAATTCTGTGAGTCCAAATCTGGTTGACTAATTACCAGACACCKTTTCATTAACACTTTATTTTTTAACAGCCTGTACTTGGTTTACAGGAMGTGTTGTTGGCCATTAATTAGCCACCATTTATTATCACTTTGCTCCTGATTTTGTTCATGGCTGTTTTKGTAATGGTTCATTTTATGTGCTGCGTTTTAAAGCACAAACATAATCAATGAGGACTTTAATGTACAAAGTCAACCATAATTACAGTTTCCTGGAAACTCCGTATTCTCTTGCTATACATGTATTAATATGCTATGTCAGACATATTACCATTCTATTTCACACTTGCAATTCATTTAATGGCAATTTTGATGGTTGTATCAGCTATCCAATTTATTGGAGTAGCCTGCTTGATGAATCATGTAATTCTCTTGCTCAGACCTCTCAAAATGAGGGATTGACTGCTGTGTGAATTAAAGAGCATTGCTGTTAAGAAAATGAATTGAGCATCACAATGCTCTCCACTCGCTACAGAAGCAAACGACTGAGGGTGTTTGTACTTTATCCTTGGATCAGTGGTTATTATACTAAGCTACCTTGCAGCAAGTGACATAAAATAACGGCCCGCTAACATTCTCCGCAGCATGTTTTACATTCATCTTGCACCAGCTGAGATCACGAGATGTGGGGGGTCATATTACACTATGATGCAAAGAGGTCAAGACACATAAAAGACTGCATGCTGCAGAGTGCTGCATTTCACCGCCACAAAGAAACGGACACAAAGCCTTTTCATGATATTAGATAAGAGCTCTGCCAGAGCCACAGATATTGCACATATATTGAAAAAGCGCAAGAGTGTCATAAGACAAACTGTTGCTTTTCATAGTATAGYCAAATTAGATTTTCTCGGAGCGACAGATAATGTATCTTATTGTGCAACATGATGAGGCCGAGGCTGAGATTCTACATTTACTCTTCACTTTATCACTGTGTAGCAACCCCAAGATTATGTTGCAAACAGATGACTTCTTTATTAGCTGAATCTATGTTTCACATATTCAGAATGCACACCATGTGCRATTGAAAAACAATAAATCAGCCATGTCTAAATTGGGAAATAAATATTTAAAATGTGTGTATAATGTCTGCCTGGAGCAAGTCCAAATCTTTCTCCAGCCGTCCTTCAGCACAAACAAGAAGTGTTGATTCTTAAGGCAGTATCAATAAAAGTCTGTGGATACTAAGCTAAATAAATATCAACCACAAACCTAGTCTGTTTGAGAATTTCTCTTGCCAAAGTTATTCTAAAGTCACAGAACAATCCAGACATGTAAAGCAGGCAGATAAAAGAAGAAAGCTACCTGGATGAATGCCCGACATGTCTGCTCTCGCTTCTGGAACTGGAAAGGAGAAAACAAAGACTGGAATTATTCAACTAAACAAAAAAAATTGGTTCATATGGACCGGAAAGACTTAAATTCAACCACAAGTTTGTTTTCTAACTCTTAGTCCAAACATACAGGAGTATTATGTGTGTAATTAAAGCAGATTTATATTTTCTTGTACCTTGTTGTAGTTTCGACCTGCTGACTCCTTTTTTCCAGGCCTTAGGGTTTGAAGTTGAGCATCCAGCACATCCAACAACTGCTCAATCAGTCGGACAGAAGAGATAACATCTCCTGCTTGGATCCGGCTTCTTGTGTGGTTCACCAGTTCACCGGCTATATTAGCAGCATTCTCTCCGCTTTTTATCTGCAAAATTTGCATAACAGAGTGCAAATATAAGAAAAGTGTCTTTTATTAGAAAACATATGGCCCATTTCTTAATGCTTCTTCTCTTAATGGAATTYCAACCGCACCATGTTCACATGCATGTTTACTTACAAAAATTGAGACGCGCTAGGAAAAAATAATCTTAAAAATTGTGTGTTGACATTTTCATTTTCCCTTTTTTATTGTTTGCCCCTTTTTTTGTATTTTTGTAAGCAAAGATTKTCTGTGCAGAACCCGTCATGAAGTTTTATCATCCTTAGCTCTTTTGCACTTGCAAATTGCAACCTTGCAAACTCGCAATTGCAATTGATTTTTGCCAAAAGGAGAGTTTATAATTGGATCCTTCCCCAGCTGCTTCTTTTTCAGAGTGATGCTACATACTCTAAAGCATGCACGTATTTAAAAAAATACTCAAGAAATCTGGAGAACTGCAAGTGAGGCTAAATGATTACAAACAGCTACCTAGTTATTTCGATGAGTATTGGTAAGAACAGAAGCTGGAAGTTTTCTGACTGTGTAAATTAGCCACACCTTGATGCTTGTTCTTCAAACAAAGACCACAGTGTTCAAATGCTGCATGACTATATTACATTTTTACTGTCTTAAACAGGGGCGGTTCTAGGGGCGGGGCCACAGGGGCATTAGCTCCAGCTGAAATCTGATTGGCCCCCTGAAGTGCCCCTGTACTGTCACTCATCTGTCCTTTGCCCAATAGTGATGATGCTGGGTGCAGTTTCATGTTCAAACACTAGAGGTGCTAATGAGTCAAATAGGAAAGTCTGGCATGAACTTAAAAACTTATAGTTAAACTTATAGACGTTGTCTTCTTTTCTAGAGATTTGAACAATCCTGCAGGAAACGTCTTTCCAGCCACAAACAATGGCTGAATTTTCTTACATGCTGTGTGTTTGAGAGTATTTGATCTATGTACAGTAAAATTGCATGTAAAACTTGTAAGGAGAATATACATGCAAGATTTTTTTAAATTTCATTACAAGTGTTTGAATACATGTGACTGGTTAAATGTATTCACCATACAAAAATCAGAGATTTGTATACAAAGATGTTAAATAAATACTTGGCCCCTCTAAAAATATTGTGGCCCCTTAATGGCCCCATATTCAAAAAAATCCTAGATCCACCACTGGTCTTAAATCAAAGAGAAAACTACTAAAAATATGTTAGCAGAGCTCTTCAAGAGCCTGATTTAAAAATATTTTAGCCTAACTGTAATCTAACTGCAATAGTGGAAAAAATMGAGGTAATTAAGCACCAGGAGCGCATGCCTGGTAATAAAAGATCTCTATTTTAATCAAGACAGCCTTAGAGGTATGTTAATGTCCTATTGTAGGTGGACGGGGAGGCTGGGCAGGGCAGTGGGGCAGAGGAAAGGGACGGACCCAAGGCTCCGGGTCTCACCTTCTGTGCCACCTGGTTGACCCATGGGGAGGTGCAGTTACTCAGGTCAGGACCCCGCAGGTTCCAAATGACCTGATCCGTCAAGCACTGGAACGAGGCAATGCCTGGAGGAAAGCAGGAGCAGAGAAGCGGGGTGAGCGATAATAAGCATTAGGTGTCTGCAATTAAAAGGGGACAGCATGAAGAAGACGGATGAGCACACAAAGTGCGGTGGTTTTAACCTAAATTAAATGGAATACATTTACAAAATGTAATGTACTTAAAGTGTTTGAAGATAAAAAAGAAAGAAGAAGGAGGAGGGAAGTAGAATAAAACTGTGAAAGAAAATGAGCCTGAAATGAGAAAAAAAAAAAGGTTAAATAACAGGTTAGGCTTTGAGTGTGAGAGGAAAGAATGATGAAGAGGGGGTGCACTGTACTTTAATACAGTATATCACATAACATTTATTCTCTGCACACAGTCACGCAAAAAGACATCGGGTATGATCCCCCTCTGTCAAATAAAGACACCTGAATGAAAGCGCCTTCCATCAAACCTCATTTCCAGTTGGGTTTTTTTGTTCAGTAGGAGGGTTCAGATAAAGGACACCATGCAGGGATAAAACTGAGGGTGTAGGGGGGGGGGGTGTTATGTGCCTCTGTCTACACAAATACCCAACATCAAGTCACAGAGACAAGACGGCAGAAGAGAGAACGAGGACATCAGAGGAGAAAGAGGGAAGGAGGAGAAGCACAGATGAGAGAGAAAATGCGGCGCTGATTCACAGTCATAGAGCGATCATAGCAGATGTGGCTTTGTTTCAACCCCCTCCTCCCTTTTCACTCACTCCCAATGATTTCTTTTTTCCTCTTCAACTTTTCTTTATGCTCACCTTTCTCGACCATGGAATGGATTTGAAAGCTTTGCAAAGAAGAGCAATTAAGGCAGCCGCTAATTTAACACACAAACGACACAAAGAAACAGCAAAAAAAAGGGGGGCTTTAGGGAGAGATAGAGGGAGATATATATTTTTTTCTGTGACTAAAGAGTTTTTCTTTCATTTTTATGTCTGAATGTTTAGGACCATGGCAGCGAGCACGACGGGAAGCAAAGCCTGTGTTTGTGGCCTTTCATTTCAATATTTGCCACTTTCAATCAGCTCTTTTTCTGTGGGAGATGAGTCTGTCGTTTGTGGAGGATGAGCTTTTATCTGCAAGTCCTCAGAGACTGTGCCCACTACTGGGACCAACGCAGGGATAGAAGCAGACAACAGTGGAAATAAAAAAAGGAGCAGAAGAACACAAACATACAGACTATGTGAGTCTGTGCACTGATCTGCTTTTCAAAGATCCACATGGATGGAGGATTTGTGTTACGGGGACAATTGAAATACAGATGTTGTTAGTTTCATGGAGCAGACAATACTCAGACCCTTACCTAGAGATCCTTTGGGACATGGACGATCCACTGTTTCTCCTCGTTGGGTGGTGGGCCACTGGATGCCACGGACCAGCTTAGCCTCACAAAAATGTCGTTCTGGGTTTTGTGGAGGGCGAGGTGTGCGACGAGTGACAGGCACGGTGGCTGTGATTGGACGCAGATCTAGATGCTTGTTGATGGGGCCAATTGGTCGTGAGGTGGGAGCAAGAGGGCGGACAGTGGAGGGACTGGCACTGGAGGTGAACGGCCTTGATGGAGGAGTGGTGGTCACTTGGGTAGTGGTCAGAGGCCCTGAGGTAGAGAGAGAGAGAGAGAGAGAGAGAGAG